ACGGTATCACTGGTGGGCATTGGTGGTAAAACCGCTAATAAAACAAGGGGTATCATCAGATTCAGACTCAGCCCACATTTTCAATCAGATTTCGAGTGTACCGTCACTGCTTACATATTGACGAATCTTACGTCGATTCCATCTGTACATGTAGATAAAAAATTGTGGTCGCATCTGGAAAGGTTGCAATTAGCCGATTCACAATTTTCCTGTCCCGGCGCAATCGATCTTGTGTTGAGAGCGGACGTTTATGGAACCATTATGCTGAATGATTAATCACAGAATCACCGAATTCTCCAATAGCTCAATTTACTAAACTAGGATGGATTGTCTCCGGCCTACCGAGCCGGGCCCAACGGACCACCAAACGACTCCGGAGGAAGCTCGAAGTTGCCATATGACCACAGGAGAGGATTTGTATCCCATATTGCACAGGTTCTGGGAATTAAAAGAAATATCTCATTCGTTTGACCGTTTTTTGACCCCGAATGAGCAAAACTGTGACTATCACTTTCAAACTACCTATTCAAGAGATCCTTGCGGACGGTATGTGATTAAGTTATCATTCAAGCAATCTGTTAGCAAGCTAGGAGATTCGAAGAGAAGAGCTACTCACCTCATCCACAACTTAAATAAACGATTCAAATCAGATCCTGCTTACGCGAAAATGTATTCCGACTTTATCGCTGAGTATGCAGCATTGCACCACATGCAATTGGTGCCTGATTCAGTTCCCGAACCACCTTCTTATTATCTACCTCATCATGGCGTAATAAGAGAAATCAGCCTCACCACGAAATTGCGGATGGTGTTTAATGGTTCCAGCAAGACTACTTCAGGGTTATCTCTCAACGATCTTTTGCACGTTGGTCCAAAATTACAAACTGACTTACTCGATATCCTAATATGGTTTAAACAGTTTCGTTATGTTTTTTCTTCTGACATAGAAAAAATGTATCGACAAGTGAAAGTACATCCTGATGACTGGAAGTATCAACGCATTTTATGGAAGGATGAAGCGAATTCTCTAAAGACTTACCAACTCACTACAGTAACCTACGGATTGTTTATATATCTAAACACAAGAACTAAGATCTTATTATTTTTTTCTGGTACGTATAACGTATAATTTGACAAGCAAATCACATTAGGGCGGATAATGTATAAGCTTCTCTTTATACTTAGAGTAACTCCGGCAAATACGCCGCGAAAAAATAGAAGGAGTGAGGGTAATTTTCCTGCAACTACTCTATTATGTGCCTTTATATTATATTAGTATTGTGTTATGATTTCTTACTATTAATATTAAAAAAATTATTGTGAATTGAGTTGATTTGTCACTGTAATAAGTAGCGCCATCATAAATTATAATCTACATAAAATGATTACTATAGGGCGTGTAAAAGACTTAATGATTATTTCGTGATACGTACGTGTAGAGCAATAAAATAAATTATGTCATTGCGCTAATATGTTGTATAGCAAAATACAAGTACTTTACTTTCATATTCTTTGTTCAGTTTGTTGTCTTGTATAAATGTATATTCCACCTGTTTGGGATACACAGCATTTTAAGCGGACGGGATTTATGTCCAAAGAATACAAAGTGCGCAGATTGAATTCAGTACACTAAATGCAATAAACGCATTACGTAAAATATGTATGTACCTTATATCATAACACTTGTAATATATGTAGGAAGATTGTAATTATTATATATTTATTATTTCATATACATATTTATCATTTTTATTCCTTAAAAAAACTTTATAAACGCATTTTATAATTTATTGTGTCATTTTACGTCTTATTTATAGGCATTATATTTGTAAATTTTTCATGAACCATATATATCTCCTCCTCCCTCTATGAATAGTCATATATCCCACCTCTATAGGATATACGACAAAAATGCAAGGGTTTCAAAAAGTTCATTTTTTAATACGAAAAATAAATATTTCGGATTTCTAATATTTTGTTAATAGTAGTAGACAGTACAAAGTTTTTACTGATATAATTCGTTTATTTTAAACATAATAAATGATACTTAATAAATATTAAGTTTTTGACAGGTTGAGTGAACTTCAACTTTCTGCGTCCTGCGTTCTGCGTCCTACAAGCACATACTATGATTAAAATACGTTAGATTAGTTCCTAGTTTTGCGACCTGCGATCCGCGTTCTACGTCTTATGTAGAATGGGCTTAAAGGAGGCACGGTGTCACTGCGCTTGGCTTAACGCCGAGACACTACTGTGTCTCCAGATTCGTCGCGATAAAGTGTCTAAGGCCGGGGGGGGGAGTATTCATAGTCAATTCTTATATTCAAGACCGTCTTAAGTAAGTATAGTCTTAAGATATCACGAATCAAGGGTTCCTCATGTATCGTGCTGAAAATAATTTAATTTTTCGGAATTTTTTAATAGGAGACTACGATAAATTTTTTTGAAATTTTCAGAGTATGTTATTGTAATATTGAGCTATTAAAAAAAATATTTTTTTGATAGAAAAACAATGTGAATTTTATATTTATAATAATTTAATTTTGGTGCATCAGCGTTTACAGCGTGTAATGTAACGCTGCTTGTATTCATTCGAAACAAGAAAAAAACGATTTCTTTTTTAGGTTTAGTAAGGTTTACGTTATTAATTGAACCTATTTTTAAAAAGAATAATATCAAATTATAAAAATGGCAACACATAGAAGAAAAAATTTCGATTTTTACGAAAAATTTTCGTGTTAATTATGTAATAAAAGTAATTTATTTAAACAATACGATTATAAATAAAGGTTCAATTTATGAGGAAAGTATTTATCTAGATGTGTGTACAGGGAGGGCTTAATCGGATGAATAGTTTTTGAGTTATCTTGCATGCCAATTTTAAAAAAGTAGTTTCGAGTAAAACGCGTTTAAAGTTTTAGGTATACAACCAACAATTTTCGAGTACTTATAGCTAATCTGTTATGCCAGGCCCATAAAGTAAATTTGAATGACACACTATAAAGTATAATGTCTCTATAGGATACACAAAATAAATATTCCAGTTATGTTCAAAGCCTAAGGATTGACAGAGCTAGGGGACGCACCGCACGCTTGGCGCTTTAGCGTCTTAAATTCTTAAGATTCTTAAGACTTTACTTAAAATGATCTTGAAATTAGTTGAAATAAAAATGGCCTATGAATATCAGACGTTTTAATAATGTAGACGTTTTAATAAATAAGCTTTTTAAAAGTACTGTTTAAAACATTTTAAATATGTTTAAAACATGTTTAAAACATTAAATACATATTTTCAATAAAAAAAACACAATGTTTTGTTCTTTTAAAAAAAAACATGATTATTTTTACCAACTCTGATTAAAACATTTAAGTAATGCTATATATATTAAATTTATAGTTGTTAAATATTAGACGTCACATGCATGATTTAAAACAAGTTTATTAAAATTAATTTCGAAAAGAATAATCCTATTGCTTTATATATAAAATTTTTGCTTTTCATATTTTATTATTACAATAAAACAAATTTTTGCGCTATTCTTTTTATTATTCCTACTGAAAAAAATCACGTCACATAGTTGCATGATGAAATCATATAATTAAAACACATAAATCATGTAACGGATTGTTCCAAATCAGTACGTGATTTTTTTTAATTACGTAATTTGAAAAGTCACATGATGATATGTTCTTTTTTCTTCTATTTCTATCATTCAATTCTTTAAAATTTGACAACTATAAAATCACATGATGAATGAAATAATTTCTAATATCATGTGATTTTTTAAATTACGTCATTTAAAAAAATCACATACTGTGATTTGAAACAATTCATTACGTGATTTACATGTTTTAATTACATGATTTCATTATGTAACGTTGTAACATGATTTTTTTCAATAGGGATGCTTCCTTTTGTTGTTTTTCTTTTGAATCGTCTACTGGCTGAAAGTTAATTGAGTTTTATTTTATTCGAGCGAAACGCGAGTATGTAATAAATTTGCAGCTCTCTGTATTGCAGTGTATATCAATCAGCGCACCCAGTAAAAGAGCGAGGACAAGTGTCACGAGTTATAAGAGTTATTACTGCGGAAGAATGTGCATATACCCTTCCGATATATTCGCGTGATATATCCCACGGATATCTCCCAGCCATTTGTTAAGCTAACTGTCTTGGTTAATAGCCCTTTGAAACGCATCTCTATCGACTCACTTAGGTATAAGTTATACTTTATACATATGAAATGTTTGATGAAACTATACAAAATACATATATTTTCGAAACAAAGTTTTGCTTAATACTTCGTTTAACGATTATAAAAGTAAAAATATTCGCGCTCGATCATTGACTGAAAAAGATCTAATAGCGAATTCGGTTGGACACACTAGTGCATATAAAACCGTTGTTTAACTGATTTAATCTGTGTGAATGTAAAATGTAAATATTTTAGATTATAAAATGCAGATTTTACTTAACAGTACAATAAAATGTATTGAGGATTTCATGGTTTAATCCGTTTTTATATATTAAACACATTTATATTAAACACACATCCGTTTACATTAAATACACATTTTTATGTCAATTTGTGTACGACGGCTTTAATGTGCATCAGTGCGCACTGACAAGGGAAGTTATCCAGACGTCTAATTAGTTTCGAAAAAGTAACGGTTAGAAGTTATAGTATCCTACCTCTCCTATTAACTTAAATGAGTGTATCATTCGCTCGGAAAATTTGATATTCGTTAAAAAAATGGATACGAAGTCCGCTATAAACGGTTTCGAAAATGGGTTTAAATGACATTTTTTCATAACTTTTTTTACTTTTTGGGTTTCTCTACATATGTGTGAGTAATATACGCAAGTGGAATATAAAAGAAAACTTGGGTCTCAATTCTAATGGTGGATGTTGAACATTTTTTTATCTACCTCTCCCGAAGTTGGAATTGCGTTTGGTACACTTATAAAGTTGTATAAATGTATGTACGTATAAAAGTACATATATTTTCTTATTATACATTACCATAATGTACACATACACAATTAAAGAATAAAATTTTATAATTACATTATGTAGATCAAATTATGTTTATATACGAATTAAAATAACAATGTAATGAAAATGTATAATAAATAAGAAAATATATGTACTTTTATACGTACATCTATTCATACAACTTTATAAGTGTATCACATCCAAGCGCAAATCGCATCGAACTTCGAGAGAGATAGATAAAAGAATCCATCATTGGAATCGAGAAATCTAAGTTTTCCTTTCTATTCTACTTACGTATGTTACTCTCACATGTACGTAAAAAAACCCAAAAAGTAAAAAAAACCGCTTATAGCGGATTTTAAATCCATTTTTCTAACAAATATCAAATTTTCCGAGCAAATGACATTCATTTTAGTTAATAGGAAAAGTAAAGTATTATAACTTCTAACCGTTACTTTTTCAAAACTAATTGGACATCCAGGTAACTTCCCATGTGAGTGCGTCCAATCGAATTCGCTATAAGTAGTGATAAAAAATGCCTTCAATTGAAAGATAATTAAAAGTACGTAAGGGATATAATAGACATATTACGCGAATATCTGTGATTGCAGGCTTTAATTTGATTTATTGTTAAAAGTAACTTTAGCCCGTGATCAGATCTCGCTTGGATGAAAAGTGCTCCTGATATTTTTGAATATTTAAAAGCAACCCTTATCAAATTCTCGATGGAATTATTTTATGAAAGTTAATCGCGTTATTATATAGTTGTAATACGCAGCGACTGATTCCATGGCGAATCAAGCTCGAGGATAATTCAGGATGCGACCTTGACATTATGGAGGCGCATGTGGGGTGGAATTAGCGTTGCAACCTTTCACGCGGTTGACGTCGCGTACTGCTGTGCCAAGAGTAATTACTTCCGCAGATTGAATTTGGCGAATCACGTTTCGCATTTTGAATGCGATATAGTGTGCACCACGTGTAATCGTTGGCGTGTCGCGAGAGAGGAAACAGTGGCGGCAGGAAGAAACGGTGTACGTACAAGCGTTCGGTTAATTAATAAAAATCGATAAACTAAACATAAGTTCCGCGTACCGGTAAAATTTATATTTAGAAACTGAAGCGCGCGGCGCGTGGAAAACTCGAGTTACGAGTTTCTTATGCGTTAATCTTAACGTGACCTAACGTTCCGCCACATTCAGGCTGTGACGCGCGGGTTTTGGAATGAAAAGGAGCTCGCCGTCTCCGAGGGTTCGACGAAAAGCAATTTCGATGTTCCCGATGATCGCCGTACCGTACAAAACTGGTCATGAAGCATCCCACATCGCGTGAGCGTGCGAGCCGCTAAGCGCCGAGGCTGATATGAAGGCATTTCCGAGGGTATCGATCAAATAAGTTATTAGATCATGCGCCCGTCCACTCGCCTTAATATTCCATCGTTGCGTTCTATATATTATAGTTTCGTGTGGTGCGCAAAGATCTCTCGTTCGCGTCGACGTGATATCAACAATACGAAACAAACGATAAGTGGTGCTTACCAGGTGTGACGCGGATCACTTGAGAAAGAGGCGAAAGTTAAGTCGCGAAAATTGAAGTTACTTTTCGCGCCGATTAAAAGATGAATAACAACAGAGGTTACTCCATATATGACGCAGTTTCATTAATTATAGCTCATCATGTGATATATTCCATGATTCAGAACTTGATCCCTTCGTGTTTACCAGGAACAGAGAGTTAACGAAGCGTATCGGATGAATTCATGCATGGATCTATCGTTCCGTAGTTTAGTAAATTACCGATACGTCTATCTATCGCTAAGATAAAATTCGGGGGCGTCCTTTCACTGTAAACTCGTGCGCACAAGAATTTGTTGCGGAACTTGATCCGTCTTGGTGTTACAAATCGCAACGTCTTCTCACCGTGAAATCCCGCGTGAAATTTTCGCCACGTGTTTTCCTCTCCTAACATTGGACTGGTTAACGCTAATTAACATCACGTGACACCGGAGCGAGCGCGCTCATCCGCGACATACCTTTTTTCAAGGAGGCTCCTCGCTTCGTGTGCCGACCCATGAAGCTGGAAAGTAGCTGCATGCTTTTATTCTCTCCGACACTTTCAACACCCCCCAGGCTGGTCGCGGCGATCTCGATAAAGCTATATCGATCGCGCTCACCGGGTCCCGGAAATACGCGCCGCTAAACAACCACGGTGAAGTCGTTACTTATCGGAGTCTCTCACCACCTTTCTCATATCACCGCTCCCGAAACATCGCCTGCTGTTACGAGTGCTCGCGTTCACAGTTTTCCCGTTGCATGCTGACAAGCATCTCGTTCCACCGGTTTGCATACACGAAAAAGTCAAGCGAAGAAAATCTTCGCGTTCACGATTAATAAACAGGCATCCTTTTTGAGAGCGACTCGAGAAAAGAGATCCACACGCAACACTCTCAACACAACATGTTTTGTAAAAACTAAAATGTTTTTTTCTACAAACTGACTTTTTTCTTATTTAATGAAATAAATACAAATGTTTTTTCTCTTTCAAAACGCGAAAATTAAATATTACTAATATTAGTTACTCTTCTTTTTTAATCACGCTAATGTTGATTCTTGACATGCCAAGTCTCGTGACAGATAGATTTACCTCGAGCTGTGCAACGAAACTTTCAAAATTTGTTCGACTCGAAATTTGGAAGTACAGAACACTATCAAAATACGTTGGTAGAAAAAAATTCATTCTCTATTTAAATCGCGTGCTAAGTTCTACGAAACTTTTGCTTGTGCTCGAAACAAACGGAAATATCGAACAGGCTCGATCCATGAAGTTAATTTCATCATCGATTCGTCCGAGAATTAATATTCAATTAATATCGACGGTATAATATTGAAGTCCAAAACGATATTAATTAATAATTACGACTAAATTATTTCAATCGCGCGTATGGAATCACGAAACTGATTAAACGAGCGGCGCTCACTTTTTGCAGAATCTAAAATCTTGTTAATCGAACGCTGTGATTAATCACGCTGCTAATTGTAAGTCGAATAATCTCATAATGTTATTCGTTATCATTGTGGGACAACTTTTCGAAAGATCCGCCGAAGTTTCACGAGCACGCATCCTGCGAAAGCTCAAGGTGATCGCGAATGGCGCGAGTACTCGACGCGCGCGGAAGCACTGAGGTGACTGAGGAAACACTTCGGTCTTTCCTCCCGGTAAATCGCCGCCGAACCGCGTTCCCTCTCGAAGGGACTGTGAAAGTCTCGCGCCTGCGCCACCCTCTGACCACCGTCAGAAGGTACCCTGAAATCTCGTCTCTAGTGTAATTAATTGACCAACTCCGTTGTGGATGATACGGAACGCTCCCCGCACGTTCGGTAAAACAAAGATTTCATTACGATTATGCGTCTTTCTCGCATCGATCGGATCGTATGAAATATATTAATATGCTAACGTTAATATTAAAATGGAATGTTGTTTATGTATAATAACTCTAAACGTTGTTTACTATATCGAATACTCGCATAATACACATTAATAAATTAATATTAATTAACCAATAATAAATTAATAGCAGTAAACTAATAAATTAATTATTAATATCGCTATTCTACGTATTATGAGAACGCAGAATTAGGAAGTATCTCGTTATTTGTAACGAAGTTACCAGTTACACGGTTAAAAATGGGTTTGACTCCCGGCCGAGGTAACATTTTTCGCAATAAATTTATTTACAGTTTTTCAACACAGTAACATCTTGCTAATATGCTTGATTGTGCATCAAAATTATTTAAGAATTGCTTGTTAATTTAATTTAATTCGTGATATTATTCCAGTAGTTTAATCGCGTTTATAAGTCCGGAAAACCAATTCGGGGCGCAGTTTGAAGGACTACAAATATGTTATATATGCAAGTATATATATATATAGTAGGGGAGAGTAGTCTAAATCGGACCGTGTTCTAAATAGGACCTTTTTAATTTAAATGAATACGGTTAAGCAGATTTGCGTACTATTTATAACGTAAAGTCTTTATAAGACACCGAACATGTGATAGCAGTTTGACAGTTCTCTGTCATAACATTCATAAAATAAAGGCAAATATGTATTTTCAGCCATCGTGCGAAAATTTTTTTAAAAAAGAAAATCCTTGTAAATCATTATTTAAAAAGTGTTAAAAATTTGAAAAGTAATTGATTTAAGATAATTAAAGAGTATAAAATTAAAAAATATCAAGCATTTCGTGATCACTTTTACAGTTTATTGTAAAATTTGTTACAAAGTACGAAAGGACCCGTGTCCAGATCGGACAGTACAATGAATAACTTATAGGCCTGGTTGTAGTACTGGTGATCGGCTGACTAGATTTGATCCAAGCAATTAAATCAGTAAAATATCATGGATCATCAGACTCAGATTAATTGAGTTTTATTGATTTCAATTCTAATAATATAAACAGTTAGTATTTTCTTTTTCTGAAAAAAATGTTTATCTTTGACTGTCAAATTGCTTGTTTTTACTCAATACTAAGAAAAATACATTAAAATATTTTAAAATTCTATCTAAAAATCCATAAAAATAGGAGTTTTCGATTTGAACCAGGGGATAGTCCGATTTGGAACCAACAGTTCTTCTTTCCAACAGCACTTTCGATTTTACGATCGGACTTTATTTACGCCTTATAGAGAGCAAAAACTGCAAATAGGTCCGATTTAGACCACTCTCCTCTATATATATATATATATATATATAATTCACATTGAATTGTTTAAAGCATTAAAAAATCTAGCTTCGACCGGTACAAGTTGTTAAATTTCTATTATTAATTGTGTTTCTCACATTGTACGGTCTAAAAATAAGATTCTTATTGTTTACCAGTTAGAGTTACTTTTTTTTTAGTAACTGTAAGTTAACTTCGCTCATTCCTTCCATCTATTGTAACTTATAATTTAGTTACATTTTAGATGTATTAGATGCATTTTAGAATTTACATACAAAAATATTATTAGACACTA